TTCCCAATTCCATTGAGAAAATTTGCCAATTAAATTAGGTCCACGAATAGCAAAACTTTATACACTATTCATCAATGAATGAATGCCATTGACTTTATGACTTCGTATCTATTGGGGAAACTTTTCTCAAACTAAATCCTATTGAAATTGGCAACGTCACGTTTGTTCTTTCAATCACCTGAAATAGCAGCCTCATAAGATTTCTGGAAAAACAAAACACGTGTGGAGATATCTTCAAGGCATAAAGGGTAAAAGCAACGTATCCGTCAAAAATAAGAAAAAAAATCCTCAACGCCTCAATAGCCATGAAAGGGTTGTTTGTTATTGAATCCTTTCACTCATTGTGAGTGTATGCGTATGTGTTTTGGTAAACCACAATGTTTATTTAAGCTTTTCATTAGTCTAACATCCTGACAAAGTTAAATTTAACGGCAGCCAGGTGAATGGAATTTTGACAATGAATGAAAAGATTTTCGGGTTTATCGGGTATAAAGTTGATATCTATTAAAAAGTTCCAACAGACGCTGCGCCATGTTGAACTTTAATATCGAACGACCGTAATGATAAATTACTTTGTTTACATTTTGGCTTTGTCGTAACTTTGTTGAATAGAAAATCGGGTGTAAATGACAGGAAGGAAGGAAGCTGTGTCCCAACACATACACACAAATCCATAAATGACACACATAAATTCTTTGTTGAAATGAGTATTTTCAAAAGATCTGCCATTGAAGCGGTGATACGATTTTTACGATAGGATTCTTTTATAGGCATTTTTGTTTAAGTCAAGCAAATTGATTTTTGTTTTTTTGGTAACGAGGTAGTAAAATATTTAATTTAATAAAAGGGGTAAACTAGAAACGGCAACAATGTTTTAAGGATTGTTCCCGGTAGAATGTTTTGTGGAAATCTATTTCGGAAGTTATTTTATGTGGGGTTGCCAATAAACAAGTGAGTCATTGACTAACAAAGTTTTCTACAATTTTAAGTATCAAATATGAAAATATCACCATCACCAAGTAAACGCCAACACTGTTGACAACTTGGACTGCGGAGATTAAGCTACCTTGTATTCTACAGGTCGATGAGTTAAAAAAATACCCCAAGCTTCTAGCGATCACATTCGATAGCCTTTATAAATCGTCTGAGAACGCCACAGCCATGAAACAATCATGGCGAAGTTCCAAAAAATGGCAATACCATGGGAAAGCAACGAAACAAAATGCGATGGAAAGGGACTGGAGTAAGGAAATGTCCTGTTCATCTACATCAGTCTTATTTGCGTCCATGCCCCGAAGGAAGACAAATTTCAACAGATCAAAGACATTTTTTCGAGCCCCTAGAAACAGCATATGACCGCTGCCCTGGCCATGACATTAAAATTCCGCTAAGAGATTTTAATGCAAAAATCGGAAGGGAAGCATTTCGATATACACAAGGCCACCTGGATTATGTTGTTTTAGAAGTTCGATCGATACGAGGAGTGAATATTGATTCTGACCATAACCTTGTGGCAGCCAAGGTTCGCACTCGTCTTAATGAAGCAGCAAAGACGCGATTTAATGTAACACGGAAACTCGACGTCGAAAAGCTGCAAACACAGCATATAGCAGAAGGCTTCTCCGCTCAACTTAACCACTTGCTAGTCGAAAGCACTCCTTGTTCCGAAATAATAATATAGAAGCACGATGGCAAAGAATTGCCCACTTCCTACAAAGGAGAGATGAGACAAGTATTTTCAGAAAAAGAAGAAGGAACAGAAAAACGTGAGCGTGAGCTAGTCGAGATGTACAGGAATCAGCATGAAGTCCGGAAATTTTACCAACGAATAAAACACCAAACCGAAGGCTTTGGTGTAGGCACATCTTCCTGTAGAGATGAAGAAGAAAACCTGGTGACAGATATAGATAGCGTGTTGAGGATCTTGAAGGAGCATTTTGATACGCTTCTGGTTTCAAATGGTGGCGGTGAAGAAGATTCCCCAGAACCAATGAGAGAAGAATAATAAAACAGAAGACTATGGTGAGATGCTGGTAAGGAGCATGTGCCAGCTGATTAGTACAATTTGGCTAGAGGAATACATGCCCCATGATTAGCGTCATATGTCCTGTTCCCAAAAAGGGAGTCAAGACGATATGTGCCAACTGTAGAGGAATAAGTCTCCTTCCCATCGCATATAAAGTGCTATCCAGCGTGATGTGTGGATGACTGAAGTCAATGCTATTATTGAACCATGCGGCTTCAGACCTGGCAAATCCACCTTAGATCAGACACACACTGCGCCAAATCCTTGGAAAAGGCTTACGAGAAACACATTGACATATTTCACCAATTCGTGGACTATAGAAGCGCATTTGACAGACCAATCAGCTCAGAGGTATTTAATGCCATGTCTGCATTCCTTCAAAATTAATACGGCTATGCAGGATAACTTTAACTGGTACAATGTCAGCAGTTAAAGTAGGAAAAGGTCCTTTCGGATCCCTTCAATACCATACGAGGATTCAGACAAGGTGACAGTTTGTCGTGAATTATTTTTAACATCCTGCTGGAAAAGGTCATACGAGACGCAAAGGTGAACAGAAATGGTACTCTGTACACCAAACTACACATGTTACTCGCCTACGCCGATGACATCGACATAATGGGTCCAACATTGAGAGCGGTAACAGCCTACTTTGAACAAATTGTGAAAGTGTCTGCCAAAGTGGGTCTGACAGTAAATGGCGAGAAGGCCAAGTTGATGGTATCAACGCATAAGACGTCCAGTAGACTGGGACCAACTGTGGAACTTGAGAACTACAGCTTCGAGGTAGTTACAGATTTTTTATACCTTGGCACCGCTATAAATAATACGAATGACATCAGTTTTTAAATTCGGAGAAGGATTGTGATGGCCAACAGTTGCTATTTAGAAAGAAAACACTGCGTGCTGTTATATGGATCTGAAGCATGGGTACTTGCGCAAACCAGACGAGGCACCTCTTGGGGTGTTTGAAAGAAAAATTCTCCGAAAGATCTAAAGTACTGAATTAAGTCTAGAACGATGTGTGTAAAATTTCGTGAAAATCGGTTCAGATTTAGATATAGCTCTCATATATATTTTCGTCCGATTTAAGGTAAATAGCGCACCAAAGTCCATATATATCCTTCGATTTGCACGAAATTTGGCATAGAGTACTGAATGAAGTCTAGAATGATGTGTGCTAAGTTTCGAGAAAACCTGGTCAGATTTAGATATAGCTCCCATATATAGTTTCGTCCGGTTTATTGTAAATGGTGCACCAAAGTCCCTATATATCTTTTGATTTGCACGAAATTTGGCATAGAGTACTGAATTAGACCCAGAATGATGCGTGCTAAGTTTCCTGAAAATCGGTTCAGATTAGCTTCCATATATAATTTTGACCTATTCATATGGTCGTATGGGTGCCTGATTGATACATGAAGCATACAAAATAGTGTTTGCTTTAAATCTGTTTATAAAATTTAGAATAGGTTGCAGAATGGCATGTGCTGGAATTGATGTTAGTCGGTTTACTTATAGATAAAGATCGCATATTTAAGTTCGTTCAATTTCATGTCAATGTTCCTTAGAAAAGGCGACGTCTGTTAGGATACATATGTAGAATATCCCCAAAGTGGTGAAGGGTATCATATAGTCGGCCCAGTCCGACTTTACTACTTTCCTTACTGGTTTAAATTTGGAGAAGGATTGTGATGGCCAACAGATGCTACTGTGGTCTAAGTATGCAGTTTAGAACCAAGACCAGACCAAACTCACACACAAGACGCTGATACTATCCGTGCTGTTATATGGATTTGAAGCATGGGTACTTGCGCAAGCAGATGAGGCAGCTCTTGGGGTGTTTGAAAGAAAAATTCTCCGAAAGATCTACGGGTCGATCTGCGTCGACGGTGAATATCGACGTCGAATGAACCACGAGCTTTACAATTTATACGCAGACATCGCCACAGTCAGTCGTATTGCGAATGAATGAGAATGTCCCAGCTCAACAGGCGAGCCTACTGAGGGTTCCTGTAGAAGGAGAAGACCACGCTTGGAAATACCTATGGTGGAGGCTTTTTTTCCACCTGTTACTGTTTGGTACTTTTTCTACATTTTATTAAGTCTCTGAATAACCTCATACACCAACCGTAATGTCCGATGGACCTCAGAATGTCTTCCTCATAAACAACGCCTTCACAAATTAAATAAAAAACAACTCAAATAAAATTTCAATCCATTTATTTGTTTTTAAACATTAAAACAACTTAAAATTCGAGAAAAAATACAATGATTATTTTTTACATTTATGCAAAGAGACGGGTTCTTAAAGAATTTCGTTCAATTAGAAACCATGTGTATAACGTTTTTTATTTTTATTTTATTTAAAAAAAGTGGTATTTTTTTAAGACAATTTTATTATTATTTTTTGTTCGACATTTGTTCCACTTAGAGTTGTACTAAGAACTACATAAATTTCATAAAATATTACGTTGAAATTTTACATCTTGTTCGTGTTTTTAATATTAATAAAAAAATATCTAATATAGAATTACAATTTTCTTTTGTACAAAGTCATTACTATTTGCCGGAAGTAAGACTTCCAATTCGATGAAAACTAAATTTGCTTTTGTCTGGATTCTTATTGGCTAAACAACTACACATGTAAGTATGTTTTTTTTGTTTTGTATGTGGGAGTGTGTTCCGATAAATACACTTTCAAATGCAATATCAATTCTGGTGTATAAGCCTCGAAGGTTGTGTGCTCATTTCATTTTGCCGTGGATACAAAATAGAGCGAGCACACTATTCAACATCATGTATCAAGTATCCAAAGTATCCAATTAATTTGAATATTAATAGCTTTTTTTTCAAAATTGAAAAAGAAGATACAAAAAATAGCAAAGTTTCCTGTTTTACAGTTTCACAACAAACCACACTATTAATTTCCTCACTCATCATTACCATCGTCCATACCTGCGGCATTACTGCTCTACAGCCGTGGACTATCTATCACTGTTTGAACGGTACAACTATTTACCCGGATACTAGAATTACCAGTCAAGCATAAATTCCCATTTTGTGGTTGGGAACGCTTACGTCGAAATCTTTTACCACCTCCGCCACCGCTACCCGCACCACCACCAACGATGCCACACCACTGCATTCCCTTGAATGTATCGAGAAAGGCTCGTCGAAAATTGGCATTCATGAAACAGTAGGTGATCGGATTACAGCAACTCGATGAGTAGGCAAGCAACTGTAATGCACTTATCGATTTGTAATCAATGTATTCGTAAATGGCCGCACCAATATACATGGCCACAGTGTTGATGACATATAACGGGGTCCAGCATATGAAGAACTCCAATACCAATACAGATAACATTTTAACGACACGCTTTTTACTTTCGAGATTTTTGGCCATGTTATTTCTGAAAGCAGAGAAAGATAAAATTCTGATATGAATATTAATATTAAGGCATATTAAAAACCAGTAAGGAAAGTTCAAAAGTCGGACGGGGCCGACTATATGATACCCTTCACCACTTTGGGTACATACAAGAGACACTCATATGTGCAATATCCTTTGGATAGAATAGACATATCATCTGTGGATGACCATTGAAACGGAATCTAACCTGAAGTTGTAGATATTTGAACTAAATTAAAACAACCCATACAGATACAATCTGAAATCTATGAAAAATCTAATACACGTTATTCTAGGTTCGATTTGGTACGTTGTGCACTAATTCGTCCTAAGCGGACAAACTTTAATTATTTGGTACATCATTTAGATGAAATCGGATGAAATTATATGGAAGCTATATTTAAACTTGAAAGGTCATCAATCCAATACGCTACGCAATATTTCATGTAAAGCGAACATACATACCCCCACCATTTGCACCATTTGCATAAAAACGGACTAAAGTACATATGTGAGCTATATTTAAATCTGAACTGATTTCAACCAAACTTAACATACATCAAGCTACACCTAATTCAATACTCTCTGCAAAATTTTGTCTCAAACGTACCAATATTGGGAGTTTGGTGCACCATTTCATTCTAGACTAAATTCAATACACGCTGCAAAATTTTGTGAATATAGAACATAGATTCTTCGGTGCTCCATTTACCTAAAATCGGACTAAAATCGGAGATATATCTAAATCTGAATCGATTTCAACCAAACTAAGCATACACCAGTCTAGACCTACTTCAATACTCTGTGCACAATTTTGTCTCAATCGGAAAAATATTGGGAGTTTTGTGTACCATTTACCTACAATCGGACGAAAATATATTTGGACCCAATTCAATACCCTCTGCGAAATTTTGTCTCAATCAGACTAATATTGGGAGTTTCGTGCACCATTTACCTAAAATCGGACGAAACTATACATGGTAGCTATATCTAAATCTGAACCGATTTCAACCAAACTTAGTATTGGGAGTTTGGTGCACCATTTACCTAAAATCGGACGAAACTATATATGGGAGCTATATCTAAATCTGAACCGATTTCAACCAAACGTGACACAAATCAATCTATACCTAATTCAATACACTGTGCAAAATTTTGTAGCAATCGGACCGATATTGGGAGTTTGGTGTATCATTCACAAAAAAATCGGACGAAATTATATATGGGAGCTATATCTAAATCTGAACCGATTTTCTCCAATTTCAATTGGGTTCGTTCTTGAGCCAAAAAAACGACATGTACCAAATTTCATCCAAATCGGATCATAAATGCGACTTGTACATTGTTCACAAAAATACTTGGACGGACGGACATGCGGACATGCATAAATCGACACAGAAAGTGATTCTAGGCATATTCTCGAAAGGAACCATGTGTCTATCTCCTTTCCTTTTGCCTGTTACACACATATGCACAAAGACATAATACCCTGTACCACAGTCTGGTGAAGGTTATAAATACTTTTTATACCCTTCACCACACTGTGGTACAGGGTATTATGTCTTTGTGCATATGTTTGTAACAGGCAAAAGGAAACGAGATAGACACATGGTTCCTTTTGAGAATATGCATAGAATCACTTTCTGTGTCGATTTATGCATGTCCGTCCGTCCGTCTGTAGATGTTAAATTGTAAACAAAGTACAGGTCGCATTTATGATCCGATTTGGATGAAATTTGGCACAAGTCACTTATTCGGCCCAAGGACGAACCCTATTGAAATTGGGAAAAATCGGATCAGATTTAGATATAGCTCCCATATATATATTTAACCGATTTAATGTAAACGGTCCCTATATATCTTTCGATTTGCACGAAATTTGGTACAGCCTAATCATTTAGGTCTAGAATGATGTCTGCCAAGTTTCGTGAAAATCGGTCCAGATTTAGATATAGCTCCCATATATAGTTTCGTCCGATTTCATGTAAATGGTGCACCAAAGTCGCTGTTTATCCTTCGATTTGCACGAAATTTGGCATAACGTACTGAATTGAGCCTAGAGTGATGTTTGCCAAGTTTCGAGAAAATCGGTCCTGATTTAGATATAGCTCCCATATACAGTTTCGTTCGATTCTATGTAAATGGTGCACCAATGTCGCTATATATCTATCTATCGATTTGCACGAAATTTGGTATAACGTACTGAATTGAGCTTAGAGTGATGTCTGCCTTGTTTCGTGAAAATCGGTCCAGATTTAGATATAGCTCCATTTTATTATAGATTGATTTTAAGTAATTGACGCGCCAAGGAACCAATAGGCTGATAGGAACAAAACGTTCTGAAATAAGTATAACCTAACCTGTGACAAGTTTGTTTGAAATCGCTCAATATTTGGATAGAGCTTCGATATATATTTCAGCCCGATTTCAAGCAAATTGGGCATCAAACTCCTCATGTTAGTCAGATTGACATCAAATTTTGCACAACGTACAAAATTGAGCATAGAATTGCGTAGTTGCGTTTTCTAGAAGTACAGACATAGCCCAACGGATGACCTATTTATATTTGTTTGAAGTCGATTTACATACCTTTGTCCCATTGTAACTAACGAATGACATATTTATGGATAGATCTAGGTAGATTCACATTTAGATAAATATAACATATTTTATTTCATCCAATTTCATGCTAATAGTCCTGTTTAATATACCCATAGTGGTGAAGGGTATCATATAGTCGGCCCGTCCGACTTTACTACTTTCCTTACTGGTTTTTTTTAAATCCACGCCTTGTAAGGCAGATTAATCAATTTTTAAATCTTTCGAACTTGAGAGTATATTTTCATAATCTAAATAACACAATTAGCTTTCTTTCATTACACTAACCCCATCACATAGTGAATTATTGAGTCCATAAATCATAACAGTTAACAGAAAACTAGATACATAAACAAAAATTTCACTTTTAATATTCCCTTTTTATGCAATTATCCTTTTACATTACATTCTACAATCCTACTTGCAGTAATTCTCACTCCACACTTCCCTAACATTGTAAAACAATGCAACAATAAACTAACTACAATATTTTGCTTATAAGTACCAACATTAATCGTCTACGACCATTAAAGTCTTTACTGCAACTCCTAAAAGTATGCTTTAAAATACCACAAATTACTGACAGTCTCATTTATATGAGCCATTTCATTTATAATTACATACCTTCGTAATACCGAATCGGAAGATCTTAAATTACGTTTACTGCTGCTGAAAAACTTTTTAACACCGCTTCCGCCAGCACCACCACCCCCTCCAACGATATCACCCGCTTTGCAATAAACCTCAGAATGGTTTACTTGTTGAATGTAATTACCCCGTATGCCATTGTACGGATGATGCTGATACTGATGATGAAGGGGGTGGTAGTGTTGCTGCTGATGCATTTGATAGCGATACGACGAGTATGTGGCTGATGATGAGGCCACTGAAGACGATGATGTTGAGGGCAAATTGCCAACATTACTTGTGACTGAGCCCAAGGGTCCAATGGTAGTGTTTCCCGGGCTGGCAGCAATACAAACGCCGACACTAACACCAACACCTCCGGGGCCACCGCTACAACTACTGCAGCTGCAACATTCCGATGTACAATAACTTGAGGTTGCATTTATTGAATCATTATCCGGAGGCACAGTTCGCAATGTGGCAAAGCGCATGCAATAAAGATGACGACGACCATTGTTGGTGTTGTTCGTCGATGAGTTTGTGGTCCGTTTGCCACAACAAAAGCGTGAAAAGTTATCTGTAATCAAGAAAACAAGAAGAACAGAAGGAAAAGGCATTAAGAAAAACGGAATGAATTGAGCAAAGGATATAAAATTAACATGGGCCTTTAAGTTTTGTGGGAGGAATGAATGAAGAAGGATATATATCTCAGCAATGGCAATTTCATGGAAATTGACTTGGAATTGTTTTTTTTTTCGCTTCAATTGAAAGTACTTAAGCTAAACTGTGGGGATGGTTTATCAAAGATTTATGGGCAATTGAAATGATACAATATAGCAAAGATGAATTTCTTATGAATGGGATAAATAAGAAGTATTTGAAATGATACTCCTGTAAAATATAACACAAAAGAGGGATTGATAAAAGGACTATTTTACATATAACGGAAAATATTGAAAACTAGTCGAATGGAACTAATCACCAAAGAATAATAATTTTTTGTTATTTCGGGGGAAATCGAAAGTAAACATGAACCCTAAGGGAATGTGGAATTATTTTTCAAGCATTGCAAAATTTATACTTATATTCTGGGTAAAAAGTAGTATTTAAAATCAATTGTATAGTGGAGTATGTATAATCTTTTTTCGAAGAGGCATGAACCATTTATTCTTATAATATAAGGTAGATTGTATATTTAAAAAAAATAGAAAATTAAAGCATATAAATGAGGTAATTACAACAAACAAATGAAATAAGCGTATTTGTTCTCCATTCAACACAGTATTATAGAAAGCCCAGATATTCATGAAGTTTTTACTAATAAATGTGTAGGAATAAAAAAATTCAAATAGGATTAGTCGGTGTTGTCGACAGATATACATATATCCTTTGCCTTTTATAGGAGACGTACCAGATGGGGTAGACAGGCTACATCTTCCAATTTAATGTTGAATTGATCCACAACTTTTAAAAATATTGTGGAAAAGTTAATTGAATTTGGTAAGAATTGTATTAATAATTTTGTGCAAAGTTTGGATAAAATTGGATATTACGTTCCCGTTTATTTAAGTTGGGATGGAATGTTAAGATGTGTATAATTTGGATCAAATCAGATGGTATAAATTGATCCATTTAATTGATAATCAAGTCTATGTAGTTAACGATATGATAGCATATTACATTAATCGGTTGATTAAATTCGGTTCAAATGTGTGTCAAAGGCAAGGATTCAAATTGAATCCTTGTCTTTGACACACATTTTATGACCAGCATTTTTGTTGAATTGTTGGAAGTCAAAAAAAATTATTTAAGAAAATGACGACGAAAAACACACATATGGTCTCCAGTTAAAGGGTTATACATTTCGTTGTTTCAAAAGTATGAGACTGGAATACAACATCTGTCAATCTTAGATGTTAAACCGTTTTTTTCAGCTTTTCATTCAGAAATTGACGAAAATGCTTCGGTTTACTAGCTGTAATGTAAGGCCTGTGCATTATCGTTTCGTTACAACAGCGGAAAATATCGCTGTTGTAAGTAAAAGTGTTGCCTCTGACCGGAAAGTGTCGATCCCTCGTTCTGTGAAATGAGGACTTGTTTTACGACACATTATGGCGTATGGCAGCACTTCAAAAACTAAAATTCGCTATAGCTGAGATGCAGTCCAATATTTGTCAACATGTGGTCGAAAATGTCAAAGTGAGCGGAGCAGTATAGTCGAACGAGGCCGACCTATGATACCCTACACAACTCCCACCGAACTATAATTTTCTGCATATCTATATTCCGAGTCTGGGCCATATTTCGCCATATTTGCATACTATTAATAGATTAGATATCAGTTCCTCTTTCTTACCCTGACAAATTTTCCGAATCATTTTTCCGAAGTAAACATTTACATCACGAGATTCAAATTTGGTTCTTTTCACACAAACTTCTTGCTTCATGTTTGACTTACAATAGAGGACTCTAGAATGACAAGGAAACCATAGACCATTACATTTCCTAAATATCTTCTGAAATTTGTAGGAGTCGTTCTTGATCATTAACTATTCATAGCGATTCGCGCGTTGCTTTCACCTCCTAGAATGATAATGGAAATATTTATCATACAAAATACGTAGACACCTGTAATTAGCATTGTATAACTCCCACATCCGAGTACATAAAAGAATAGATTTTGTATTAATTTAAAGGACATCTACTCCTCTTTGGTATACCATCAACTTCTCGTATCTATGTCCTCCATGAATAAATATATACACCATAGTATGGAAATGTTACCACTTTTCACACAAAAGTCTGGGTCCATTTTACCCACTAAAAATTGACCGATCTTCATCACCGCTTTCTCTGTGTACAATTTCGTGATATTCGGGTCATAATTCTGGCCTCTATAGCTATAACAGAATTCTTAACTGGTTAAGTTCAAACCAAGGACAAAATACCATGAATATAATTACGAATAGCGATACACTACCTTAAATCCAAAACTGTAATGGAATGTATAAATACCATTAATATTTCTGACAACAAGGACCTGTAAGAATTATATGGGTTCCGAATAACAAAAGAATCACAGACATTGAGATAGCAAACCAACTAGCTAGAAGTGCCACTGCCCACAATATATCTGAATACCGCACAACACGCCAAGAAATGAGGGAATGGACGAATTTTACCCACAAGAACCTTTGGGAAAATGAGGGGACAGGAAACATCACTAAAATCTTATGCTGTGATCCGAATGAAGAGAAAACTAAGAAAATCCTAACGCTAAACAATAAATAAACAAGCCGATTTACGGGTAGTCTTACGAAACACCTCAGCCTGAAGGCACATCTACTCAAGATGGGATGCGAAGGTAGCAGCAGGCACAGTGCGTGTAGGGAAGACAGTGAAACGCTGGAAAATTTTCTGTGCCATTGTCCCGCATTTGCATGCCTTCGGAAACACTTCTTTGGAGATGACACTATTCACGGACTAACCGGTCTAAGGGGGCGTAACTGGAGAAGACTGAAGGAGTTTAAAAAAAACAGAGTTCCTAGAATCATAACTTTAATCTAAACTTTCCCTAATTCTCACTTTCCCTGCATTTCTAGAGCCCACAACAGACATCAACTGGCATATGTGTATGTTCTTCCCTTGTTGGACATATGTTATTATTATCCACCTCTCTTTTCAACCTAATATACCAAAAACAATAGGGGTCTTCTTTGGCCAGAAACCGCTCAACATGTATAATTTCGTGACGATTGCTCCATAACTGTGGACTGTATCGTGTTTACAACTAGTCGAGATATGATGATCGGTATACTAAATGGTGGGTCTAGAAACAATTTTTCGCGGCGTTATGAACTCTTGGAGCCACACAAAGCAATAATATCCTGACAATATATTTGTGTAGGGTATAAAAAATATGTCATGAATCCACATTTTGTATATGTGTATTATTAATGTTTACTTTTGAAACCCTGAAACCGAGAAGCCGTTATTTCTGTAGTTTGCAATAAGAAAATTAGGATCGCCTCTTCTATATACTCAAAGTGGTTAAGGATATTTTATATCTCTGACCCTGTCTGACACTTCTACTTTCCTTACTGTATAAGTATAAATGCATTTTCTCTACATTGTTCTTCGTATCTACTCACTCGCAACATTAAACAGTGTCAAGTAATCAGAAGTGACCTTAAACTTCTAATAGATTTAAAATTACAAAAATATAAAGTGCACTCAATTAGAGTACACATCGCTTTAGATACGCTGTTTTGTTATCAATAGCAACAATAGCACCTTCATAATTTCCGAGGCATTCACATATCACTCGTTTGCTGCAAGACCGACATAAATCAAAAATTGTGTTTTGTGTGATAAAATTTCAAATCAATATCTCTTACACTCTGATTGACAAGCTATAGAAGTTCCTCTGTTCCTTGTAAGGTGTGAGTCGATTAAAAATTAAAAACGCATTTTCTGAAAAATCATTTTTTTTCGATTTATTTCGGTTTTGCAACAAATGAGCGTTATTCTTAACTACACAATATATATCTAACACTTCCCCATTGCATGCGTTACACAAAATCTGACACTAAGTGACTAGTTGAATACACACAGGCAGACAGACAGACAGACAGCGAGACAACTAGCGCAAATAACAATCATTTAGATTATATTAGCCAATTCAAAACATATGTCATCCTAAATGTTTTTAATTTGTTTTTCATTACAGAACAATAAGTTGTTGCAGCGGCGGCTTGCTGGCGATTATTGCAAAACAATTGATAGACAGTTAGACGGGTCTGCTAAGTGGTGGTCCGCCGGGCTTATCAATGCAATATTTTGTATTGTATGCACATTGCCGGCGTTTAATGTGATGTGATGATAACACGAACACTGACGTGAGATCAAAATGTAATCTATTGTTGTTGTTGTTATTAATTCTAAAAATTATAGCCTTGTTAGATGAAGGTATTTTTTCGCAGTTATTATTGTGCGGTGTAAACGAAAAGATCTTCGTCGCTGAAGTCGAAACAATAAAAATAAATTTTTAAATAATACAACATTGTGGAAAACCCCGTTACAATAAAATGTTATTGATATTACTTTTAAATGTTGTCCTAATCGTTTTGGGTTATTTTGCATGGAAATGTTCATATTGGCAACGTCATGGTGTACAAGGACCAAGAGGATGGCCAGTGGTTGGTAACATGTGGTCCTTTATTACAGGACAACAGCATTATGGTGATGTTTATCAACAAATTTACAAGTGAGAAGAAACTCGAAACTGGCGACCCACTGCACTCAATTAATTTCAATTTTTTTTCTTATCTCCCACTCCGGACGACCACACCCCAGTGATTATCCCCAGTTACCTTACATTGGCATTTATCGTCTGTTTGGAGAACCTGCCATTTTATTACGCAGTACCGAAATGCTAAAGGAGGTGATGATACGTAATTTCCATCATTTTCAAGATAATGTCTTGTGGGTTAATCCGAAACGTGATCCAGTTGTGAGTTGCAATCCATTTATAGCCAAAGGTGAAAAATGGCGTGTTATGCGCAGTGAACTTGTACCGATATTTACACCGAATAAAGTAAGTGACAAATAGGGAAATGCTTTTTTTTCTCAAAGAAAGTTGTTATTATGCGGTAATTCTTTGTTTTTTTCTTTGCATTTATAGGTGAAATCATCGTTTCCCCACATTGAAAATGTTTGCCGCAAATTAATGGCGCATGTAAAAGAAAATATGAATACTAATTGCTTTGAGGCAAAAGATGTGAGTATGTCGACTTAAGCACGCACACCTTTTAAAAATCTTAAGTATGTATATGTAAGACAATTGTGAAAATAGTAGCCTAAGGGAGTTATATTGAATAACTTTTAAATACATTTTTGCAAGTTAGTATATAAAACCAGTAAGGAAATAATAAAAGAAACCATGGACACGGAATCGCACGAAAGAAAATATGGTGGTGCACCAAACTTCCAATATTTGAAAATAGTACTGAATTAAGTCGAGTTTGATGTTGGTAAAGTTTTGTTGAAATCGGTTCAAATTTTAGATTCCACATAGTACTAAATTAGGTCCAGTTTTATAACTGTGAAGTTTTGTTGGAATCGGATTATATTTAGACAAAATATATCAGTTTGGGGAAAAATAAATCCATTTTTAACTTGCTTCGGAATGTCCGATTTGGACCAATTATGCACCGTTTTGTTTTATGATTTATTGCCATTTTAAAGGTATATTGATAATGATAGAATTATTGGTTATCATAGAAGTCCTGCTCTCTATTTGCAAACAACTCTAGTAGTCGATTTTCACAATCCTCCCTAGATACCAATTTTTATCAATAAAGAAATTTAGCAATGCAAGAAAAATATGACAATCGACCAAGCTCCCGAAGTTTCAGGAGAGTCGCTGTAGATGTGTGTGGCCTAGCGCTGTGCTGGTGGAACACGACACCTGTTGGCCAATTCTGGCTGTTTCTGGTCAATTGCTTTCTTTAAACGGTCCACTTGTTGACAGTGCCCATGTTTCATGTCAATTGCTTTCCACCGTTTAAACCGATGTTTTTCGCACAGGGTTACCAGGGTCTATCTCATTCCGTTTGGAAATTCGATCCATCCTATATTTTTCTGTTAATTGGTGTGGCACGCAAACGTCGAGCTTCTTTGTACACCTTTCACCACACTGTGGTACAGAGTATTATGTATTTGTGCATATGTTTGTAACAGGTAAAAGGAAACGAGATAGACGCATCTGAGTCGATTTATGCATGTCCGTCTGTCCGTTTGTAGATGTTAAATTGTAAACAAAGTACAAGTCGCATTTATGATCCGATTTGGATGAAATTTAACACAAGTCACTTATTTCGCCCAAGGACGAACCCTATTGAAATTGGAAAAAATCGGTTCAGATTTAGATATAGCTCCCATATATAGTTCCATCCGATTTTAAGTAAGTGGTGCACCAAAGTCCCTATATATATATCTTTCGATTTGCACGAAATTTTACATAGCCTGCTGAATTGAGTCTAGAATGACGTGTGTCAAGTTTCGAGAAAATCGGGTCATATTTAAATATAGCTCCCACATATATTTTCGTCCGATTTAAGGTAAATAGGACACGAAAGTCACTATATATGTTTCGATTTGTACGAAATTTGGCATAGCGCACTGAATTAAATCCAGAATGATGTGTTCAAGGTTTCGTGAAACTCAGTTCAGATTTAGACATAGCTCCCATATATATTTTCGTCCGATTTAAGGTAAATGGTACACCAAAGTCACTATATATCTTTCGATTTGCACGAAATTTGGGATAGCGTACTGAATTAAGTATAGAATGATGTGTGCCAGGTTTCGTGAAAATCGGTTCAGATTTAGATATAGCTCCCATATATATTTTCGTCCGATTTTATATAAATGGTGCATTAAAGTCCCTATATATTTTTCGATTTGCACGAAATTTGGCATAGCGTACTGAATTTAGTCTAGAATGATGTGTATTGAGTTTTCTGAAAATCGGTTTAGATTTAGAATAACTTCCATATATATGTTCGCCCGATTTAAGATCAATGATGTACCAAATTTCCGATGACCGGCCGTATGGAATTATTTTTCCCCAACTTAACACTTTCATCCTATGTCTTGCAATTGGTGCATCGTGATATTGAGGATAGTATTGGATTGACATCGAAATGTGTTGAAAAAGGGTTAAGGTTTATATATAGCTTCCATATATGTTACCATAAGATTTCATCTAAATGGTTTAACAAATAACTATCGTTTTTTCCGATTGGGAATTTGTGCATTTGGAGCTAAAATAATGCGTATTGGATTTTGAGAAATATATTCATATCTAGATATAACCCCTATATATTTGTCTCAGTTGATGAAAGTTGTGCAACCAATAATAAAGGTTTCTCCAGCGAGATAAAATTGTGGACAGAGCTCTGTGCTGCAGTATATCAGATGGGGTATGCCACGGTTGATCGATTTGGTACAGATTTACATATAGCTCCCATACATAAATTTGCTTGATTTCATACAAATAGTACACCAAAGAATCCAAATCTGCCCGATTGACATGTAATTTTCATAGATTTCAGAATGGTATGTTTTTTTTATTACAAATTAAATTTCACCATTTCATTTTAATGGCCCACTAAAGGTGTTATGTATATTCTATCTACAGGATATTGTACATATGAACATCTCTTGTATGTGAAGGGTACCCTATAGTCGACCTCTTCCAACTTTTGAATTTTTCTTACTGGTTTCCATTACGGAATTGATATAATATGAAATTCCGTGACCTTTGTGAATAAACAAAATCTTCATAGTACACTCGATATATTAATCCATGTTCCTATACAGACCACATACAAATGTCACGCACAATTTTCGGTATGTTGTAGCCGAATTTACTGCAGCTATTTCCGATGGCATAGCCCTGATATAAAATTATCGATTATTGTTATATATTTTAAATGCCCAATTAGTGGAGGTGTTATAAAAAGTGAAAATATGACCTCCATACCTCAATCAATCCATAGCTGGTCCATAGAATGGGATTGATTGTAGAATAAATGGACTTAAGTTGGATCAATATTACAAAAATTAAAAAGTTGTTTTTGGAAGAAGTGCACTGTATTTAGCTATTCAAAATCAATATATATTTTTATAAACACTTGTTATTTTTTTCCTTTTAAATTGTATTTTTAGTTATTTTCCAAATACACCCTCGATGTCATTGCTTCATCTGCATATGGATTAGATGGTGAGACATTTTCCAATACAAATTCCGATTTTACAACGCTGGTGGAACATTTATTTCTACCAAATCCCTACAGTTTATTGGATTCCATTGTGCTGTTATTTTCACCAACGTTGGGTAACCTGATTAAATATACGTAAGTAAATTAAAAAAAAAAAATACAAAATTGACTAAAAAGGTAGAAATATGTAGAAATAGATTCTTCAGCCATTTAAAAATTGATTTTGAAATTCTAAGCCTTTTAAAGTCCAATGAAAAAATACTCAATATCACCTTAATACCCACAGTTAAGACATTTCGTTGTAAGTATTTCCCCACATATCTTACAATGGAAATAAATATTCGCAAATCTCTGTGGGGTGTTTATTTATTTACCACCTCTCCCCTAACACTCCCCAAATATCCATTATGTCTTATTTCTTCCATTTATCCTATTGTTACCCTTTTTGTTCATTGTTTTATTTTCCACTTACCATTGCAGTTATTTTCCCAAAAATGTTGCAATCTGGCTACAAAGTATAATTATGAATATTTTAAGTTTACGCCTTGACAAAGCCGAAACGGGCGGTGCCAATAAAACGGAGCACAGCGATTTCATTCAATGGTTAATTGAAAATAAACGAAAACAAAACGAACCGGTCGATAAGGCAACGATAGTGGGCCATTGTAGTACGTTTTTACTTGAAGGTTTCGAAACTTCATCGTCGCTAATGGCATTTGCTTTGTATCAGGTAAGTGAAAAGAAAACACATGTACAATAAAGGCGTACAGTGGCAGAATGGAAATTTCGGATGAAAGTGAACAATTTTGGGTTGATTAAAAGGTTCGTTCGAAATATCCACCTAAAAACATCATAAGTATATATTTTTATACTCTTGATTAGAATAAAATTCTATGTCGATTTAGTAAAGTCCGTCCGTTGGAATCACGAAAGAGCTTTAAATATTTATTATAGAGCTGAATATCCTAGGAATATATACTTTTTAAAGTATCCTCCAGTAATGGCAAATATTCATTATTATAAAACTTTTGGGGACGTTTAGAAACGAATTGGTCCGATCACAATATTTGTGATTCTCGTTAAGAAATAAAATTCCCTAGCAACAATTATTGGCCTATATTCTAGGGTATTATTTTGAAGCTTTAGGGAGCGTTATTTGTCTAATCAACTGTAATTTAGTTTTTCGGACTCTTACTGAGTAAAATATCATTCTCCTAAATATCGATGTTGGTATACTTTTAAGGTTAGCCCACATATGACGCTACATCCCATATTTTGGCGTTCTGGGGAGTTTTCATAACCAAATAGTCTGTAATTTCATATTATGGACTCTCATTGAGTAGTAAATCTACCCCCACTAAAGAAGATATCAATTTTTTTTCGGATAGCCCCCATACAATAATGGTATCCCAGTTATTCGGTATTTTTCAGAGTTGGATCACGTTTTTCAATCGAATCTAATTTGATCGAACAGTTTCAAAACTTCTATCAGGTGTCGAAATTTCCTAACAAAAGTTATCAGTATGGGTTAACGTTTTGGTATAGCTCTCATTAACGGTACCGTTCAATTTTCGGTATTTTGAAGTCTTTAGAATCCTCTCCCACCGATTACAGCCATAATGTGGTATAAAAGTTTCTGGAAGGCTGGTATGCATATATACAGAGAAATTTGCTACACCTCGAAATATACACCCGATACCTCATAAATTATATACAGTCTTGATCACAATAAAATTATATGTCGAATTAAATTCAGAAAAAAAGCATGTCCGTTTGTTGAAATCACGATAGTAATCGCAATATTTAAGTTAGAACTCTGAAATTTTGAACGGATATTGCTAGTGCTCCTAGGATGTTTGTTATTGCAAAGGGGATATATTGGTCCACGTTTTAGCGTCGCCCAGTCCCCATATAACGGTAATGGCAGTATTCGGTATATTTTTGGGTTCTCTTTGATTGCCCGTAGCAAAAATTGTATTTTTTAATAATGTCCTCCCAAGTTTCGGTATTTTGTATATAACGTTTTCCAACTGAATTGGCTGTAATTTGGAATTTTGGGTTCTCTCCGTAACAAAAATTATTAATATTAACTTGAAGCGGATCAACTCTATTTTTATTCAAATTTTAATTATTATTGTATAAACACATACGTTTCATTGATCATTTGAATACTAAAATGCAACTCTTATTTAAATAATTGAAATTAACGGTTAACTTTGTAAATATTTTGTAAATAGTACCAAAAACTACATCTCTGAATCTACTACATTATTACACAACCAATACTAGACGAGAATCTTGCTTCTCATAAGTAGTACCTAAGCTCAATCTAATTTCAATAAAATAGCTCCACTCCGAGTCTGGAGCCCCCGACTCTAATCATAAGCTGGAATTAGTTCTTAACGTAAATATATATTCTTTTAATGTATATATAATTTTGAGTTCCTACATCTAGACCAGATCCGTACAGACTAATTTAAAACAAAAAACCTCACCTCCAATTTTTTAATGAATTACAGCGCTATCTTTAGATAGGTACAAATGTACCCGGTTATTGACCGTAGGGTTAAAGATGGAGTGAAAACATTATTTTAAATTTTGTTGAAGCCACACAAGCTCCGCGCACGATTTGCTTTATTAACGCCCTACGTGGAGCCTGCGTTATTGTCACCCAACGTCGAGTTTCTTCAAACTCAAGTTTCAGTGCAGCCCACATAATATGATTCCCACCAGTATTGGGAATTTTGGATGGCTTTGCAATGAATTTGCTGTAATTTGCTATTTCGGTTTTCATAACTGTACGACCACATCTCCGCACTAAAATTAAAATAATTTTGGACACGTTTTTCAACCGAATTTGTTTGTAATTTCGTTCTCACTACCAAACCAATAATGGAAGTAGTGAAGTCGGGCCATCTATAGGATACCCTTCACCACTATAGGTATATTAAACAAATGCATCCTAACAGACGTCGTATTTTTGAAGGACCAGTGACATGAAATTGGATGAACTAAAATATGTGATGTTTATGTAAATTTGAACCGATTTAGATCAATCCATAAACTAAAGGAAATATGAATCGGACACCCGTTGAATATGTATTCGTAATTTTATGCTCAATTTGACACACGTTAGACTACACTATCTTCACTACGATGTGAAAATTTTTGTGACAATCTGCCTAACTTCGGGGTTTTGGTGCACCATTTACTTAAAATCGGGCGGAATTATATATGGTATCTATATGCAAATCTGAACCGATTTTTCAAAATTTACAATTTAACACGGACAGGCCTAAATCGACTAAGAAAGTGAGTCTATGCATATTCTCAAAAGGAACCATGCGTCTAACATAGACACAAAGATATAATACCCTGTATACCCCAGGAGCCCCGTTAATTTTAGATATTTTGATTGTCATCCTCACGTTGGAGGATATAAAAAGTTCAGCCAGGCCGAATTTAACATCTGTTTAATTCCATCATGTATGACGCCAATGGGCCTGTGGGTCCTTTTTTACTTTCTATTTCAGACATTTGTTTCCAAAAATATTTTTCAAGATCTAAGCTTATATGCCTTTTCAAAAATATATGTCTTCTATATAAAAGCCTTCTTCTTGTAACCCTTCCTATTTTCATTGCTCCTTAAACCAAAATTAATCAAAATTGATAGGTCATATGCTATTAATGCCGCTACCATAATAATATAATTTTTTCTTACTTCTTATATATTGATAAATTGTCCATAAAAATATTTTTCTAGAACATAAAATACTTTTAATACCACATTTATTCGGCAAAAATTTACGAGTCATAGAATACAAAAACTTTCCCAAATCACACAGCACACAAGTTTCCAGACACACATTATTCTTCAAGAAAATACTTTCATACAGATTATTTATAAATCTCATCATATTGTCACGCCATCACCCTTTTTGTTTGCCACCATTTATGGTCATAACTTTCCATTAATGTTTTTTTTTCTTTTTTCGATTTTCTCTTTTTGCTACCATTACGCTTTCTGAAACATTTTGGTTGTTGTTGTTGTGCAGTATGCCATAAATCCTTTGGAACAGCAAAAAGTTCTAAACGAAATCGATGAAGTTTTAAAACGATATGATGGTAAACTATGTTATGAGGCCTTGCAGGAAATGTCCTACTTGGAAGCTTCACTGTACGGTGGGTGACATTTAGTTTTTTTGTATATATATTTGCACACACACGCAATATTTTGCTTCAATCACACACATATACACTCACGACCATTTCTCGAATTTAATTTCATTTTATTTTCAAAAAAAAAAAAAAAAAAAGTTATGGAAACATACCCTCTTAATGGCACTTTATGTGATATTCTCTCTGTTTCTTTTTCTGCCTCTCTCTTTCGATTTTCTCTTTTCAGAAACTCTACGTTTGCATGCCCCAATGATGGCTCTACTAAAACATTGTACAAAATCCTTTGAATTACCACCACAACATAAAGGAGGTCAATCTTTTCGGGTGCCAGAGGGTATGGTGTGTATAGTTCCGGTAAAAGCTGTCCACTAGTAAGTTGTTTATATATTTGCTTTAACTTATGTTATTTTTTTCTCGTGTTGTATCATATGTGTATGTATGTGCGTAATGCCATGTTTGTGCATCTGGACGTTAATGAAAATGGAAATTGTTTTGGCAGAGAAAAAAAAAACAAATCCTAAAAAAGTATGACAAAGTTTGTGCAATTGTTCACATACATGCCCCGACTATTTACCATACTTAGGAACTAATTGATGCAAAACATACTTTTTATTGCCACTGAAATGCGTTGTGAATACAGGGGCGGGCTTTTTTTCTGAGATTACTTGGAAGATTTGTTTTCGTATGTGTAGATGGTGTTAGGAAAATAATCTTGCTACGCTAATGGGTTCTTAGTAGAGAGATTTTATTTTCACTTGCCTGGTATGTGAACAAAATTTTGTGTTTGTCATTCTGAGTTGGTCCTTATGCCGGGATGTTTATGACAAAATAAGCAATTTGAACTTTTGTATTGTTTCATTTGGGGTTATTTATATGCCAACAATTGTGGTTGAATAATATATTTGAATATTTGTTACACATTTTAATTGCAACAAAAATTATTTGCGAACTGTAATTGAATTTGTTTATGTGGTGAAAATACAATTGTCAGCAAAATATTAAATCAAAGTTAAATTATTTGGGGACGTCATGAAAAATGTCAAATGTGTAATCAAAACTTGTTAAAAAATATAGATATGTTTATACATTTTTCTTCTAAAAGCAGAGGCAGATACCCTCCACCAGACTGTGAGCATTCAAAATGGCTAAACTTGATCAAGGATTTTATATGGGTGTTATGACATTTCTGCCAAGAGGTCCTCTTTGAAAAGAATTTCCAAACCGCAGATACTCAAGATTCGGCAAGTCAAAAACCAGTAAGGAAAGTAGTAAAGTCGGACTGGACCGACTATATTATACCCTTCACCACTTTGGGGATATTCTACATATGTATCCTAACAGACGTCGCCTTTTCTAAGGAACATTGGCATGAAATTGAACGAACTTATATATGCGATCTTTATCTATAAGTAAACCGACTAACATCAATTCCAACACATGCCATTCTGCAACCTATTCTAAATTGTGCAACCTATTCTAAATGTTTAAAATGTATCTATCAGGCCCCCATTGATTATTTGGTGTACAGTCAAGATGAATAGGTCGAAATTATATATGGAAGCTAATCTGAACCGATTTCAAGGAAACTTGCTACATATTATTTTTAATTAATTTCTGTAAGTGTATGGCTCTGTATGGGCCTTTAGTGTACCATTTACTTAAAATCGGACGAAAATATATAGAAGGTATATGTAAATCTGAACCAATTTCAAGAAAACTTGACACACGAAAGGTTATAGTAACAGTACATTGTACTAAATTGTGTGTCGACGGACAAATCTTTTGGGTCTTTAGTGCACAATTTAAATTAAATCGGTCGGAAATATATATTGAAGCTATATCTGATTTATTTATAACTGATTTTCAAGAAACTTAGTACGCATCATTCTGGGCCTAATTCTGTAACACATGCCAAATTTCGTGCAAATCGAAAGATATATAGGCACTTTAGAGCCCCATTTACCTCAGATCGGACGAAACTATATATGGGAGCTATATCTAAATCTGACCCGATTTTCTTGAAAATTGGCACAAATAATTCAGGGCCTAATTTAGTACTCTATGTCAAATTTCGTGCAAATCGAAAGATATATAGGGACTTTGGTGCACCATTTACATTAAATCGGACGAAACAGTATATGGGAGCCATATCTAAATCTGATCCGATTTTCTTGAAACTTAGCACACGTCATTGTAGACCTAATTCAGTACGCTGTGCCAAATTTCATGCAAATCGAAATATATATAGGGGGTTTAGTGCACCATTTACCTTAAATCGGAAACTTAGCACACGCCATTGTAGACCTAATTCAGTACGCTGTGCCAAATTTCATGCAAATCGAAATATATATAGGGGGTTTAGTGCACCATTTACCTTAAATCGGACGAAACTATATATGGGAGCTATATCCAAATATGAACCGATTTTCTCGAAACTTGGCACAAATCATTCAGGAACTAATTCAGTACTCTATGCCAAATTTCGTGCAAATCGAAAGATATATAAGGACTTTGGTGCACCATTTACTTTAAATCGGATGAAAATATATATGGGAGCCATATCTAAATCTGAACCGATTGTTCCCATTTTCAATAGTTTTCGTCCTTGGGCCAATTAAGTGACCTGTGCCAAATTTCATCCAAATCGGTTAATAAATGCAACCTGTACTTTGTTAACCAAAATACATGGACGGACCGACGGACGGACAGTCGGACGAACATGCGTAAATGGACTCAGAAAGTGATTCTATGTATATTCTCAAAACGAACCATGTGTCTATCTCGTTTCCTTTTGCCTGTTAAAAAACATATGCACAAAGACATAATGTCCTGTACAGTGTGGTGAAGGGTGGTATAAGGACTTTGGTGCTTCATTAACATAAAACCGGACGATATATATGGTAGCTATAGTGAAATCTGAACCGATTTTCATCAAATTTAGCTCATATCATTCTAGACTCAATTCAGTACGCTATGCCAAATTTCGTACACATCGAAAGAAATATAAGGCGCTTTGGTGCTCCTTTAACATAAAACCGGACGAAAATATATATGGTAACTATACCAGAATCTGAATAGGGTTGGGCCGAATAAGTGAGATGTACCAAATTTCATCCAATTCGGATTACAAATGCGACCTGTACATTGTTTACCATTTAACATCAACAGACGAACGGTCATGCATAAATCGACTTAGAAAGTGATTCTATGCATATTTTCAAAAGGAACAATAGGTCTATATTGTTTCTTTTTCCTGTCACAAACATATACACAAAGACATAATACCCTGTACCACAGTGTGGTGAACAAAAGGATCAACAGTAAAATGTGCCCAAGGCCACCAAAATACCGAATATTGGTATTGCGAAGGCAGATTTTCTACTCAATAGGAATCTATAAATATTTAATTCCTGCCTGTTGGGTTGAAACACGTGTCCTCACTCCCCAAAATACCGAAATCTGGGATGTAGCGTCATATGTGGCTACCCTAATAAATGGACCAATATTGTCGTTTCGGCGTTTTAAAGGCTGATGTACATATGCACTGGAGAATGATCTTCATAGGTCAACGCTTTTTACATAGCCCCCATATAAAGAGCTCGCCTAATTTTCGTTATTTTGAGGGTCTTAGAAGGCTTGAGTTGGAATTTCGAGGTTTAGGAGGCTGACATATAGCTGTGTAGAAAATAATCATAATACGTCGATGTTTTGACTGTATATAAAGGTTCCATCCAATGTTAGGTATTTAGGGTCCATTGAGCGAAACTAGCTTCGAAATTTTGAACCTGTCTTAAGTTAAAAAAGTTAAAGTATAAAATCGGTTGCTGCCTTCGTTAGCAAGCCCGAGGGCTGGTTGGACTGATATTTCTAAATAGACCTCTAATTTCGTGAAAAAGGATTTGATTCAAAACACATCCCATATCGATGATATCAAATAATTTTAATCTAAATCCATTTTTCAGTTCTATTATTTGTATATTCATACAACCAATTATTTAGTAATACACTTCTTTTCCTCGTATGGAAACAAATATGTTTATTGAGTTCTTTACTAACAGTTACACAATATTTTATTTATTTTTCTCTTTCTCTTTTTGTTTTTTTGCTTTTGTTATTTTTTAGTGACTCTGATATTTACCCAGAACCATTATCTTTTCAACCTGAACGTTTTATGGGTGATAAAGATAAACGCCCACCATGTACGTTTTTGGGTTTCGGTGAGGGGCCACGTATGTGTCCAGGTAAGTGTGTATTTGCTTTGTGCATTTTTGCTTTGTGTTTCAGTAATCCGAAACAAGAGAAAATATTTACATGGTTCTAACGAAAAAAACATAAAATATTTAGGTGGCCGTTTTGGTTTGGCACAGAGCAAAGCCGGCATTGTATCCATGCTTTCAAAATATTCTGTACATGTGGCTGATAAGGCCCAAGGGAAACCATTGAAAATGGCCGCGACCACTTTTCTAACGGCTGCAGAAAATGGCATATGGATAAAATTCAAAGAACGTGAATAAATGTTGGAAAACATTATTCACGGGTTGGGTTGAGAAAACTACAAACTATCGGATACGAGAACGTGTTTGAATATGCAAAAGATGAACATGTGTGTGTACGTGCGGATTAACATGAAATAAATTTTTAAGTGTTTTCGGAATAAATTATTGTGTTGGTAGTAAAATTATAAAAAATAAACAAATTCAATTATTTCCATACAATAAATTTAGAAAATATAATTAATGCTTTTGTATAAATAATCTGGGTTTTTCATCGGAAAATATAAATAAATTCGTACACAGAATTGTAAAATGTCTATACGTCAGCACGAATGGTAGTGGGTATTTTAATTCTCAAATTTAATTTTACTAATTGAACATAATTTATTAGGAAGAAGTGTTGGTAATGTGTGTTTGAAACAAACATACATACATACTTTCTCTTCTCATTGACTATGACATGTGGTAAGTTGAAAATTATTGCTTCATTGATTTTTGTACCAGATATAGGTTGGCTTAGCTGGAAAAGGGCAGCTAGAGGATCAAAACCCAAAAGTGGAAATGTTCAACCATATTCATGAAAGAGGAAGGATATAAATGGACTGGAATTCTACTTCTGCCAAACAAAGTTGTTAAAGCATTTTTCACCACACTGTGGTACAGGGTAATATGTCTTTGTGCATATGTGTGAAGGGCATCATATAGTCGGCCCAGTCCGTCTTTACTACTTTCCTTACTAGTTGCAAAGAGACTAGAGCGGTTACAAGAGTGGTCTGTACATCGTAGTTTTCCTCGATCCCCTGAAATATCACCGGTGTAAGTGAAATGGTTGTGAAGATCCGAATGTGTCGATCACTCGTCGTTCTTATGAATTAGGACTGTCATAGCGTATTTTGCATTTAGATCTACACCTATATGCTTGAGCAACTGACGGTGGAAGGCAATTTTGCGAACAAAATATTCCACATCTATGAAGCGCACTTATAGCTCACTGGCCGTGTTAATAAACAAAATTTTGATATTTATCAAAACACGATGAATAAGGGATGTAGTCCTCATTTCACTTTACCTTAGCAGGGCTGTCATCACGTCATTTCGGAACGTTATCGTAATATAATAACCGATTTATATATATATATATATACATATTATATGATTTTTTGGTTTCCTAAACATTCTTTGCATACTATTAGGCTGATATCAAAAATGAAAATTCTACGATCTGTAGTGCTTAACAATATATAACTATGTTATTATAAATAAGGAAAAAGGCCAGAAGTGTCTATAATCCTCAAAACACTGCATTTTAGAAGGCTAACTTATATGACTATATTCCTTAAGAGGGCCAATATTAAGAAGTACCGAAAATCGGGAGGTATGATTTTAGGGATCGATGTAGCTCATTTTCGAACCTGACATTTTAATTCTGTATCTCGATATCCTATGAAGGTCGTATGATAACAACAAATGTACTGGCGGATGACAATGTCTTTGACTAAACCTGGACGGATATTCAGTATTATATGCTGATCAGGAATATTTATATATTTTATGGTCTCGGAAATAATTATTTTGATGAACTTAATATACCCTCCATACTATGGTGGAGAGTATAAAAATAAAACAATCTATATGTGTGACCTAATTTTAAAATTTGTATTGAATTGAATTTCTTAAAACTTATATACATACATACGTTATTCGATTTTTGCTATGCCACATAGATGATTAAAAAATATTTTAATTTTAATCGTGGCTTTGCCAATTAAACAGTTTATTTTGTTTTCACTGAAATCGTAGTCAAATAATATTTCAACATTATAAATTTATGTACATATATTAGGATTAACAAAAATAAAAAAAACAATTTAATTTTTTTGTTCTACTAACAATATTCTACGGCTTGTTTATTACCCTGAGGACGTGTATATTTAACACAACGTACGTGTTGGCAGTGCAGTTCCCTACTCTCCACTATTCTGCCAAAACACTCGATATGCACATGCCAAACACCTTTTTCGCGAAAAGTGCAAATATTCAAATGTTCTAAATTGCAAAACCACCGCACCTCCAAAAGAGCTGCACATCCTTAGCTGATACGCAGAAGAGGGAGGAGAAGGATGACGACCAAATTAAAACTTTCGTAATTTTGTTAGCCACCAACATATGCTAAGTGAAACGTAACTTTTTAATAATATTATTATTATGAAATAGTGACTTTACGCGTGCAGTACCACTCACAGATAATTAGAAAGCCAAAAAGGTGTTGCTTTAAGCGATTGAAAGTTTGGAAAAACACAGATATAATTTCATAACATTTAGAATGTTTAAGTAATAATAAAACAAATTTAACTTAAGTTTTATTTTTATTAAGGTACGTTGTAGAACATTTAGTGATAATCCAATAAACATAGAGACCTTGGTGCACCTATTTATTAATCTGAACCGTTGGAAATGCGCCTACGAGCCATACCCTAAGACCGAGCAATATTTATAATTTCAAAAAAGTTAAAACTTGGTTTCGTAATTTGAATTTTTTTAACCCACGCTTATTGGTCTTAAGGTCCTTTGCAATTTTTTTTAATCCACGCTTATTGGTCTTAAGGTCCTTTGCAATTTCGAAAAATATTCTTTAAAAATCCACGCTTATTGGTCTTAAGGTCCTTTGCAATTTTTTTAATCCACGCGTATTGATCTTAAGGTAGTTCGAAAAATATTCTTTAAAAATTCACGCTTATTGGTCTTAAGGTAGTTCGAAAAATATTCTTTAAAAATCCACGCTTATTGGTCTTAAGGTAGTTCGAAAAATATTCTTTAAAAATCCACGCTTATTGGTCTGAAGGTAGTTCGAAAAATATTCTTTAAAAAATCCACGCTTATTGGTCTTAAGGTAGTTCGAAAAATATTCTTTAAAAAATCCTCGCTTATTGGTCTTAAGATAGTTCGAAAAATATTCTCTAAAAGTCCACGCTTATTGGCTTTAAGGTTCTTCGAAAAATATTCTTTAAAAATCCACGCTTATTGATCTTAAGGTCCTTTGATTTTTTAAATACACGCTCATCGCTTCTTCAAACTATGTTCAAACCCTATTCCACCCTACAAAATAATAAACATAATCAAATATTCACCCTCACTATTTAAGTTGAAACATATTTACATTCTCTCAGCAGAACCACAGAGTCGCCTACAAAGGCCAACCTACTAACCAACAAACCGACCATCGTTTTGAATCTCAGATTCTTAACTCATTTGAGATTTTAATTATTAATGCAATTTCTTCTTGCCAGGGTTTAGATTTCAAATTATGTTGGCAAATATAAATTTGCAGTGTTCTTAATTTGTATTCGGATAGCCAAAGCTTAGTGTCTGCCATTAATAAATCAAGTCAAATGATTCTTGTGAATGAAGTAAAGAACATTTTCATTCAGACTATGTCAACAAGAAGATTGAAAAATTCTGAGAAAATAAAAAAAAAACTGTACAAAAAATATAATTAAAAAGAATATTTAATATATTTAGAGGGCTTTGTCACTTGGTCGCTCTGTCAACAATTTTAAATAAAGTTTTGTAATTTTTTTTCTTAATGTTCCTACTACAGTTGGACATTCATATGAAGGACACATAGTAGGAGAGTGATAGAGGAGAGGAAGAATATATTTGCCAAGTGAATATTCTGATATTCAATTCGAAATAACAAACCCCAAAGGAAATTAAAACTGATTTTAATTCCATTTTTTTGCCATACTTATCACTTCCTGTTTATCCTTGCTCCTCTGTATGAGGAAAAAGTAAAAATGTCGTATGTTCTGTCCATTTGGTTTAAAAGATATGTCAACAACAGTTATTGTTCGTATCTTGCATTTCTCTCTATTTAAACAACTGTTGGTCATTTTTGGTCCCAATGACCGACCAACGACCGGCCAGCAGAGGACAGCTTATTTGGTCTCTATAACTGCCAAAAACAATTTAATATTTAACAAGAACCAAAAGAAATAAAAAATACACAAAGATCCCCTACAAACAAAACTTTTGAATGCCAAACACATTTTCTTTCTTTTCGTTGTTATTGTTGCTCCTTCGTTTTCTTTCTTGCATTGAAATGCTTTGTGAGGTCATGGCTAGCCAAAAAATGACTAACGAGATTTTGCTGACATTTTTCTTTTAAAAGTTATTTGCTTAGACTATTTTGAAAAAAAAAGAAAAAAGAATTTTCGTTTTGTCGAAACAATGGCCTTGTTCGTACTTTACTGTTGGCACGTTTAGGAAAAATGACATAGGTTTGACTAAAGCATCAAGCATGTTGCAGCCAACTGCATGAGAGAAAGAATGTAATAAAAATACCAAAAGGCTGAGAATGCCAAACGACTATATCGTACTGAACTACACAAGCCATTTATAGGAGAACAACTAAAAAAGGTGTCAAATTTCGCCAGAAACGATCTCTTGATGTAACCAGTGGGGACAACATTTAGGACATTGAGGACGAAATTTTGCAAAGTGTGATATTTTTATATATATCCAAATATTGACCTAAATTAAATTTTTTTTCTTGAAATATGTATGCCAGGCTCTAAAACACCGCCAAGAGAAATTGCACTTATGTTCGTATTTCGGAGCTATACCATAAATTGGAACGATATTAGTATTTTTTTAAGGGAAAGATTTGCCACACATGATTACTTAGAACAAAATACCAAATTATAGGGGGTAACCCTTTATAGGACCTATTCCAAAACCCGAACTAGTATTTTTGTAGAGGGAATTTTCTATCCAATGGAAATTCAAAATATCAGATTGGAGCAAATTCACTTATTTGGGAGGTACTGTCATATGAATGAATGTGGTTTATGTCTATTTTGCTTATATTGAGATATTTAAAGGTTTACGGATGCGGATGTACACATGCAGTACAAAGCCGATATTATTGACTTACAGGAAATGCGATGGAAAGGGACTGGCACAAGTAAATCAGTTGATTACGCCCTTTATTATAGCTGCCATGAAACGAGACATGAATTTGGCTG